TGAAAATGAATATTTTCATATCAATTGTGCTAAATATTTAATAGTACTATATTTCAACTACTTAAACTTACAATTGAAATTATCAAAGTTCTAAACCTTAACATATACATATAGCAACGAATATAACAATGAACTAAATTCTAAACATCTAAATTATAACAAGTTAGTTTATTTCCGTAAAAAAATTAACCTATACATGTAAACTTTTATATACCATATATTGAATTTACAAAAACAATTAGAATACTGTGTGCATTGCGATCGTTTGAAAAATTCCCAATAATTCGCACTATTTAATAAGCAAACAAGCAAATAATTTACAAAAAACCCTATATCTAGCAAAACATCACATACTGGAGTAAGTTCGAGAGGCCTCATCGTGCTGCTGCAGAATGTAAGTGGTGAGTGAACAGTTTATTTTTTCTTTTGTTATATTTTTGTAAAAGCTTGATATTGTTTTGATCAATTGTTTTATGTTTATTTACATATTAGTTTGAATAAAAACATAAAGAATAATTAGCGAATATTATAAAAAGTAACAATGTACAGTGAATGTTAAAATTGTAACAAGAAATATAGATATGTATATCTATCTTTTTATTGCTACTAGCATACCCTGAATGCTTCGCTACCCTAACTTTAATTAAATACATACACAATTTTGTTTTCTTTTATAGAAAATTAAACTTGATTAAACATTTTTTAACGTTTCAGTTTTATACGTTCAATATCACGTAATTAAATTCGCATTCAGTAAGAAGCTTGTATTTTTAGTTTCATTCATTTAGCTTCCACATTATAGAAAATTTCGAAAGTACTATTTCAAAAAAAGTACTATAAAATAAATAAAAATAAAAAAACAAAAATTTTATGTTTCTGTGTTCAATATTATATTCAATTCAAAAAATATAATTTTAATGAATGAAAAAGTACCAAAAGTCCCTTTCAGTAGATTCTCATTCACTAAGGTCCCTACATTTTAAAAGTACCATCGGAAAAACGAAAAATTACAAAAATCTCTCTATAAATTATATTTATAGAGATAATAATAATAAATTCTCATTTAATAAGGACCGTGTGTTCCGGTTAACCATTATAAAGAATCTAAAAGGTACCATTTGAAGAATAGAAAAGTACCAAATAGTTCCCACTTACAGAATATTATTCAGTCAAGACCATGTATGTTAAAATTAATGTTCCTAGGTTGAATATTTTAGAAAATTAAAAAAGTACCATTTATGATATAAAAAGTACTAAAGAGTTCTCTCTTAAAGAATCTTATTCAATGAGGACCGTGTATGTTTAATAATCATGTGTTTTGAATTCATATTAAAGAAAATACAAAGAGTATAATTTGAAGAAAGAAAGAGTACCAAAAGTGGAATAAAATTTACCTAGGTGGAAAGCACTACTACAGTATTCTTTATACAAATTTTCCCCTTTTCGCTTAGAAATATACTTTTTCGAGAATTAAGTTTACAAAATGTTCCGTATTTAAATCTATATATCACAGATAAAACTCAAACGATTCAAATCTGCATTCATTTGTTCCAGAAAAATAGTGCTTTCAAAAAGTACCAAACAATTTACTCGAATTTGGTCCTATATAGGACTTAGTACTCGAATTCCAAAATAATATACCAACAGCTTATTTTGTGTGGGTAAATAAACTACTTTTTCAAATTCTATAAAAATTGGCTCAATAAGTTTGAATAAAATTAAATTTCCCGTTTTTCCCCTTTTTGGTACTTTTTCCCCAAAAAATAGCAAAAATTTTATTACAATAAATATTAAAGAGTTAGTCCATAATTTAATAGCAATAATTCAATAAACCGAAAAAGTTTTCATAATGTTCTAAAAAAAGTACCATAAATACAGTTTTCTCCCTTTTACGCACAAAAAGGACTGAATTTTAAAAAAGTACGAAACATGTGTCTCATAATTTTGGGAGATGTAACCAAAATATTTATGAAAATTTTATTATGTTAATTAGTTCAAAAATTATAAAGGGCCAAAAATTGTGTAAGATAATTAAGAAAACCTGTTTTACTCGTTTTTTTCTCCTTTTTACCCGTAAATGTACAAATTTCCAAAAATCCCTCCTTAGTGGATCTACATAACCAAAAACACATCTACTGTCAAAATTTCATGATTCTAGGTTCAGCCGTTCGGGCTGTGCGATGATGAATCAGTCAGTCAGTAACGCTACTCTTTTATATATATATATTATTCAATGCATTTTAATTACATACATACTTAAATTTAAAATCGTGGGGGAAAATAATAATTGATCGCTCTGCTAGTGGCTCCCATTAGTCCTTTCTTAGTATTTCCCAACAAACAGTTTACTTTGTATAAGAAAATACACATAAAATTAATCATCTTGTTTGCTTTTGATACTTTGTTCTTTTAATAATTAAATACACGTAAACCCTTGTATATTACATTCCGTATAACGATTTATATATACAAAATACACATTTATGTCGAATTTTATCCCGATGACTTTGATTGTCAATGTACGTTTAAGTAATTTTCGGAAATGATCCTTATATGGAAGTTGTGGCCAATTGAGGAAAATTTTCGTATAATGATTTATATGCAAAAAAAATCAAGTCGAATATTACTCTAATAAATTTATTAATTAATAAAATATGTGCGTTTAAGTGGTTTTCGAAAGTGGGCCTTATATGGGAGCTATGAACAATTACGGGCCTCTCCAGAAAAATTTCGTAGATTCATATGTATGTACACAAAACATATTTGTGTCGAATTTTATAAAGATAGCTTTATTTGACAATGAAATATGTGAGTTTAAATTATTTTCGGAAGAGGGCCTTATATGGGAGCTACGACTAATAATGGACCGATCCGAAAAGAAATTTGGTGGGATGATTTGTATGTACACAAAACATACTCAGCTTTATTTATCAATTAAATATGTGGGTATAGGTGATTTTTGGAAGTGGATCTTATATGGGAGCTATGACCAGTTGCGAACCGACTTAGATCTACGTTGGTAGTATGATTTCTATTCATATTATATTTGTATGTACAAAATTTGATACCGATATATTTGAGGGAGTTATTAACGATAAACAAATTTCCGGGAATATACACATTTGTAGGGGAAATATTGGATCAATTGTTATGGCACAAAAAAAATAATGTGTGACAAAATTCATCGAAATATCTTACCTAGTTTCTGAGAAAACTACTTAAGAATTGGGAAAAAACGTTATTTTTTCGAGGTAGTCTGAAATTTTTACTTATAACTTTTTACGTCGTGAACCTATTTTATTGATTTTTAATACCAAACTTTACTGGATAATAAAATAAAGAATGTTTTGGGTGAATTTCGTGACTTTCTATTGCTTCGTTTTAACGTGAGCGTGTTTTACACAGACATACAGAAAGACGGGCGGACGGACATAGCTAAATCGAATTTCATAAGGATCAAGAATATATATACTTTGTTGAGTCTCAGATGAATATTTCTTGGTGTTACACACGGAATGACAAAGTTATATATACCCTCTATCACCATTGATGGTGGTAAAGGGTATAAAAATGTTATATTAAGTATACAAAATAATAAATTAATTGGAGGGTATTGAAGATTCGTTATAGCCCAAGTTAGCACTCCAACAAAATTTTCTCAATATGTATTTGTTTTATTGATTAATTTGAATGTCGAATTTCTATTTAAAAATGGTAAGTTACATACCCTGCCAGCAATTTTGTAGTCGACTACGAGAAAAATTCACTTCTAGTTTACTTTTACAAACTGACTATAAGCTAACTACAATGTAATGCAGAGCTGTCCCGAAATTTTGTATTTGGCAACGTAAAGAACCGACTTTGAAATACTAACTACAAGCTAACTATAATGTAATGCAGAATTGCCTCAAAATTATCTGGAGAGAATTAATTGTATTTCAACATGTTTTCTCTTGTTTCTCTATTATTATGATTTTATTTGTTAACTTTAGTAGACTGACTATAAACGAACAACAATGTAATGCAGAAATGTTCCAAAATTTTGGTATTTATTAACGTAAACAACCGACTTTTAAAGACTAGCTACAAGCTAACTATCATATAATGCGGGAGTATCCCAAAATTATCTGGAGAGCATTTTGTTTCGACATGTTTTCTCATGTTTCTTTATTATTTGGAATTTTGTTTTACATTTTTGTAATTTTCTTGTATACGTTATGAAATTAGAGTCAGTAAATCGGAAAAATTAATTATAAAAGGTTAAATATTTCAAAGCTCGGTCCCTAAATTCTAAATTTTGCTTAATAATTTGATTAATACTGTAAATATAATACATTAACAGTTAACATTACACATAACATTTTAAAATTTATTTTAGATTTGGATCAATGGGAATCATGGAAATAATGAATAAATCATTCATAATTTTATGGATACCGGTGTTATTATTAGTTCCCCTGCAGAAAACTGATGTCTATTAATTTTAACGAACTAATATCATAACTTGTATTAAAGCGAAATGTAATTTTGATAACTAGTAGTTAAATTTTAAATATATTTAATTAAAATGTAATTAATTAATACAGTAGGGAATACAAAAGAAAGTTATTACTTGACTTTTCTGCAACTAACTTTAAGTTAGTTAATAAAGTATCTTTAAGCTAATTTTTTAGTAACTAACTTTAAGCTAGTTGAAAAGTCATGCAGAGTCGGACAATTGACTACTGTGTAGGACATCGCCATGTTAAAATAGTCAGTTGGCTCCATTAAAAAATCGGCTTTTAATGAATTTAAAGTTAGTTGAGTTGCTGGCAGGGATACTAACATACCATCACAATGCATAGACGTTAATTTATCAATAAAGCTTTTATAATTACTACGTAGTATTGAATTGGGGTGCATGCACCTAATGAAAATTTGTTTCATGGGGACACAACAAGCACATATTATTTGTTTTCCTTTTATTTTTTTATATTTCGTTAGTATCCTGTGAACACTTCTGGTCATCACGTGGCTATTTGAAAAACAGTTATTAATTTACTCTACGAAAATATTGTGTTTCTATAAATTCTATATACTGTTCTACATAGAACATACATACATATATAAATATATACACAAGGGTTTGTGTATAAACGCGTGTGTGTGTTTCAATTGTTGAACTCGTAAAATACGTTTGCGCTATAATAGTGTTAATTTTTTAGCAAAAATTAAAAATGGCGGAAAATGTGCGAGTTGTTATTAGATGCCGGCCTATGAATAAAAAAGAACATGATTCCAATTGTAGAGTGAGTTTCCTAATGGACATGTATGTGAAGGGGTTCTAAAAAAAGAAATAAATGTTACACTCTGTAACAATTTGGAAAAAAAAGCTTTCACACATTGAAAAGTTGATATGCATTTGAAACTAGATTCCATTTATAGCAATTCTGCGTACTCCAATTTTCATAACCAGCTCTTATGTCCTTATAAAAGGACTTCAAAGTTTAAAGGACAATTTCAAACGAATATTTTAAATATTTATATGTGTTGTATGATGCTAATATTGGTATGAAACGAAAGCTGGGAATCTATACATTCTATCTATATTATTTGTTTGACTCACTTGGACAAAAAAAGAAATATTATTTGTTTGACTCACTTGGACAAAAAAAAAGAAATTAAATTTAACAAGTGAGAGTGTTATATTCATAGATTAAAATTACTAATATATTATTAACCAAAATGCACATTATCTCATACTCATACGTATGCAATATTAAAATTTAAACTTATTTTATCCAAATAATATATTTAATTGCTTCCATTTAAAATATTTGTAGTATTTTTGCGAAAAATATTTACCCATACAACATATTGCAGCTTACAGACAAATATACAGTTTTTTCATAAGCAATATATTTTGCTGCAACTTGCTAACATATTTAAAATACCCACATATATTTTGTATTGCTTGCCTATAATATCAAAATATTTTCCTACACAAATTATTCGTAGTAAAATATATTCAAGACATGTTTACCTACAATGTACGAACTTGAAATGTGCGCAAGCAGAGCATATATGTGACGACGAAAATACTAAATAAAACGATAGTCGCGACTATGAAATTGTAATATTTTGACTACAAAATTTAAATATTATTTAATATAGGAAATCATTTATGGTCTAAAATTTTACATTTTATGTTGGAATTGAAAGATTATAAAATGTGAGGAATGTATGCAAAAATAACCAAATATTAATTAGAGAATTATTGAAAATGTCTGTAGCTATGTTTGTATAAATGTTTAATGTGCATATATTAAATTAATGTTTAATTTTTATGTGGAGTATTAAAATGTATTTATTTGTATTGAATAATAGAAACACGGTTAATACCTCTAAACAAAGCTAATATTGCACCTCATAATTTATATAATATACATAATTCTTGTTACTTTAAGTCAAACAGAGTTACAACAGATTTTTATACATATTTTATACATATTATTGTTACAGAATCATAATGTACATAGATTTAGTATTTCAAAAAGACTTAAAACAGAAAAATTAATGTTATTAAAAATTCCCCAGGCCAGGTCACTTGATTTGGAAATGGAGGAAAAATTTAACTTATTTTGGAAAATATTCTAATAAATCTATTTTTTTACATAAAATAAATCTATATTTACGCGAATATAAGTTTTTGTGCTTAAAAGATATCGTGAATCTGTTCTTAGCTATGATCAAAAAAATTTTCACAGTACTCGGAATTGTATCCAATGTTGTGTGCTTTACTTTGTGTTACTTATAATTTGATTTACTTATATATAAATTCTGGATATGAAGTTTAAATTTTTAATAAAATTTTTTTGCATTACATCTTAATATACTTGTGATTACATTGTATATGAGAACAGAAAATTAAAATATAAAGAAAATCAAGTGTGCTGTAATTTATACTTTGGAATTGCCTTATACTTATGAATGAATTTGTAAATACATGTATTTGGGTAGCATTTTTTAAAAATATACATATTTAGATACTTCTTAATACACATGTATTTATACTAGAAAGTTGTTGTAGATACTTTTTGATACACTTGCGTTCCAGCTAGTAAGGTGCTGTAGAAACAATTTTACTTACTAGGTATATCGGTAAGAATGTAGGAATAGCTACTTTTCCACACACAAGTATACCAGCAAAAACTCGGTAATGCGTTGTACTTCCATAACCACTTACTTTTCAATGACTACTATTTACCGCCTGTATTACTTAGAAGTACTCTAGTAATGACTTTCTTATAATCTGATATAGAAGTACTTTATTTTCGGCTTTGTCATTTTGTTTGCACATTTTATTTAATTGTTTTTTAAGAATTGTGTTTTACAAAAAATAAAACAAAATTAGTTTTGTTTGTGAAACCCATTATTTGACGCGCAATAGAAAAGCTAAGCAGTGGTGCAGTGTGTAGAACATTTGACTAACAAACCGAAGTCCCTGGTTCGTATTCTAGCTGGCTCTCTTTATTATTAAACAAGTAAGAGTGCTATATTAGGCTGTGCCGAATCTTATATACCCTTCGCCATAGTGTATTGAAAACTTCATTTTCCCGACTATATCTTTATTATAGCAATAGCAAAACATAATGAACAACAACAACGCTAAACGAAATAAACACACAAAGAAAACAAGTAAGAAATTATAATCGGGCGTGGCCGACCATATGATACCCTACACCAGTTATGAATATTAAATGTGATTTATTTTTCATAATAAAGCATTTATCTTCAATATTCCCTTGTTCCGATACATTTAAGCAATTTATGGATGAAAAACTAATTTTCTGAAAGAGGCTTTATATGGGGGCTAGGGGCAAATATGGACCAAGCCCGATAAAATTTTGTGAATATATTTATATTGACATAATATTTTATTGTGCTGAATTTCATCGCGATATTTGTGTTTATAAGCTAATTTGGGACATTCAAGTAATTTTCTGAAGGGGACTTTGTATGGGAGCTAGGGTCAAATGTGGCCCGATCTTTATGAAATTTGGCAGGGTCATCAAGACTTCTATAAAACTTAGTTGTGCCGTATTTTATCGATATATCTGTATATTTAACATAATTATGAGCTCAGAAGCCCTTTTCGGGGGGTTCTGTTGTATGGGGGCTAGGTGAAATAATGGACCGATTTTAACCAATAGGCTTCGTCCTTAGGTCAAATAAAACGTGCGTGCCAAATTTCATCCAATTATCTTGAAAATTGCGACCTGTACCTTGCGCACAAGGTTTACATGGACAGCCAGCCAGCCAGCCTGCCAGACGGACGGACGGACGGACATAGCTTAATCGACTCAGAAAACGATTCTAAGCCGATTGGTATACTTTAAGGTGGGTCTAGGACGAATATTTTTGTATGTTACAAACATCAGCACAAATCCAATATACCCTCCCCACTAAAGTGGTGTAGGGTATAAATACACAAGGCAGTAAAACCAACAGATATCCAAACATACGAAACGATATACAGAAAAAAACAAAATACACAACACAATGAAACCAACAGACATCCAAACATACGAAATTCAATACACCAAGAAAACAAAAACAATATACACAAGGCAATGAAAAACATAGCCATCCAAACATACGAAGCGAAATACTCAAAAAAACAAAAACAAAATACAAAGGCAATGAATAAGCAGTGTTGTTGTTGTTTATTTTTTATGAAATTTTCAGAGGTTGTCTCGGATTTTTGCTTATATCTCCGTTGTTTATGAACGGATTTTGCTGATTTTAAATAGGAAACTTCTCGAAACTATGTCTGATAGAATTATTGAAGATTTGGATCCCGAAGATATCTGGGGTAAGACAAACGGACAGACATACAGACAGACGGACATGGCTTAATCGACTCCGCTATCTATAAGGATTCAGAATATATATACTTTATGGGGTCTGAAAATTATATTTTGGAAATTACAAACGGAATGACAAACTTATATATACCTTTCTCACGCCCCCCCCCCCCGGGCATGTTTCCTTGGTGTTCACACCGCATCTTGGTGTATTGCAATCCTTGGGTAGATAGGTGCTACCAATACCTGTAGTCTTCCGGGACTAAAAATTGGTGTTGACAATTTACTGCCTGGCCTAGTCCTTGCATAAATTGGAAAGAGGTCTAACCAGAGCACCAAATAATCTGGTACTACGGGTGGCCAGTTGCCCACAGGACTTGTCCTGGCTGGTCAGTTGGTTGAGGTTCCTTCGGGATCCACGTAGTGGCTGTGGTTGAAACCTAAATCGCAGGAAGGGGGTGCTTGGTTAAAAGACTGATACACGGTGAAATATAAATTTTCAAGATACATTTCTGTTATCGTCCCTAGATGCAAGGAGCGGTACAAATTACAGAGTATGACTGTGGAATAATAAAATGTTGGAATTGAGCTGATAATGCGAAGAATTGGTAAACGATGATGAACGATGTTTCTGATGTCTACTTTGATTCTATAAAGAGAATGGAGTGATTGATGGATTTGACGGATGTGTGATAATGGGGAACCGATGTAAGATGAATGATGAATGAGAGTTAGACTACGGTCTATCTAGCCAATGGAGTGCGAAGTCGTCACTGCCCTTTCTTTAATTTTGAAGCGATTTTCCAACATGGTTGAGTCTATGCTCAACCTATCACAGTGGGTGTCTGTGACCACTGAAATAAAGTCTTGTCAATTAATATAATCTGTGTTTTTCGGACTACCAATTACGTCCCCTAGGTGCTGTTGCCGAATCAACAGAGCCTTAGTAGTGTGGTTGGGCGGCATTATGTCGGGGTAGATTGAGCTTGCTCATGACACCTGTCTTTCCCCAACGTGACTACTTTGGCAAGAGATTAGATAGCTCGAGTACTTGAGCAAGTGCATGGACATATCCATGTACAAAAATTGCGACCTGCGTGTAACAAACACAAAGGGGCAGTGGTGAGTTGTTTACTTGATACTCACCCAGTGGTTGAAAAAGTACCACCGTGAGATAGGGCTACACGCCAGGTACTCACGTAAAGCACTTCGACTTCATACCCTTCTCACGAAGCTGAAGGGTATAAAAATACACAAGGCAGTAAAACCAACAGACATCCAAACATACGAAACGAAATACAGAAAAAAACAAAATACACAACGCAATGAAACCAATAGACATCCAAACATACGAAATTCAATACACCAAGAAAACAAAAACAATATACACAAGGCAATGAAACACACAGCCATCCAAACATACGAAATTGAATGTACCAAGA